CTTTTCCCAAATTGCCAGACATCCTGTGTGTACACACCTCAGTTTTGAAAGTGGCTCCCAGGATGCCGGCCACCACCTGCAGGATCAGGATCAGGAGCAGGCCGATGAAGAACTGAAAAGAGAGGGGGGAGTGTGCGTCATCCTGCGTCATCCTGCGTCATCCTGCGTCATCCTGCGCTCCAGTCCACAGCCGGACCCCGGCACAGTCTGAGTGGCAGCCCCACTCTTCGCTTACTCCACCTTGCCCTTCAAACTGCAAATACTGGGCCCATTACCAGCAAACATGTAGTTCAAAGACTGAGCAAGAGATGTGGTTCAGATGAAATATTTTTAATAGAATGACTGGCAGCTGTATGATATTGAATGAAGAAAACCCTGAAAATCCAGATGAATTCTCGTGCTCCTTCCCTTTCTTTACCAAACACCAACCCACAGATTCAGAACTGGCTTCAAAGCAGCATTTCCACCACTCTCAGAACCACCGGGCATCTTGTTATATTCACAGAGTTCTGAAGTCTGCCTCAGATCCCCTGAATTACCATCTTGGACGATGTAGCCCACAGATTACTTTTTTAAAAAACTTCCTCAAATATTAGATTTCCCAATTGCAAAGGAGGCCTTATTAATCAAAAAACAACTATTAGAGTCCTCTTAAAATTGACTTTACCTTCCCTTGTAAAAATCAAACAATTAAAACAATCATTTTCAGGGACTGACATGATACTTTTTTTACTAGAGAAATAAGTTTAGATTCATTATGCTAAACTCTCATGTCATTTATGTCTGATAAACACTTGATTTCTTTCTAATAATTTTACTATACCTATTATGATTTTCTACCATGCTAAAAGTGGATACCTAATGCCTGTGGGTTAGCCCCACCCCATCCACCCTCTTCCTGACAAATCTGATGATATCGCTCCCTGGCAACCCTCTTAGGTTGCCAAGTTCTGGCCCACAGAACTCTTCACCATGGGACTACAGACTCATCTCCTGTCATTTACAGAGAATAGCCTCTGACAGTCTCCCGCTCAGTTCCCCAAACACACGGCACTGTGCTGCAGGTTCTCTTCTCTCCACAACCTCCCCTGTGCAGCACCGTACTCACTTCTGCCCTTGACCTCAAAGTTCCCTCCTCTATCCTTGCCCTTTCCTTCTGTGGCCACTCTTACCTTAGCTATTTGTTTACCTACTAATCTTTCCTAATGGGTTCCAATTGTTTGAAGGTCATCTGTGTCCTTTAGCACAGTGTCTGCACTCAGAGGCACACAGTCATGCTGAATAAATGAATGAGTGAATCAGTGAAGGAATGGATGGATAAGCAATTGGAACCTGTCCTCTTTCAGAGTTTCCTCCAATCCAAGCCAAACCACGCCAACTCTAAACCACATTAGCTTCCCTAGTCAAACCCTCCAAACAGCAGCTAGAATTTCATATGTCTTGGCGTGATTTTGGACAGACCATGGGGACAGGACATAATCTGTAGGAGTGTGAGGGCTGGACGCTGGCGGTGGTCCAGGGAACGCACCAGCAGAAGCATGCAGCGACTTTCCTTTATGGCCCCGCAGCAGCCCAGGAAGCCCAGGACCATGATGATGGAGCCCACGGCAATCAAGATGTTCACAGCAACATAGGGGTTAAGGCCAGAGTCTGCAGAGTTGAGAATCTGGAAATAGAAAGAAAAAAGACATTAATGGCAGAAAACCCCTTTCCCTGAATTTTATTTTGCTCATTCAGCAAACAACCACTGAGTATCTGCTATAACATATGCCAGACCCTGTTCTAGAAGCCCGACAGACTTGGGTGATCCTGACAGGAAGAAAACCCCTGCCCCCTGGAGCTCACGTTCAGCCGGAAGGCCACCTGCCTGAATAACGTTTCCAGCCTCTCATTTTCCTAAAATGTTATGTTGGAAGCTGGACAGAGGAAATGTAATGGGTTTTTCTGAAACAATATTTTAAAAATCTTAGAAGGACAGGTACTTCAACACTTTTGATGTGATTTTTGATCCAAATATTGTATGATTTGTATATAAAGTAGCATTATAAACTATGTGTTTGTATGGTGATCTAAGTCCTTAAATGGAAAAGTCCAAGTTCTTCCACCTATGGACAAATGAAATAATATGACTCAATCTTGGAACTTTTATGTTGAGCCAAAGAAGACAGACTTTTAGGTTACATTGCTTTCAATCCTAAGGTAAAGTTCAAGTTGTTGCTGAGCCCTTCACCCAGGGGTCATGCTCTGACTTCGTGCACATTAGGTGAGATCCCGCCATGACCCTTCCTCCTTTCCCCCCAAGCCCCCTCTCTCCACACCTCTCCCCCTTGCTAGAGTATACTAGTGTTTTACATCTTGACAAAAAATAAGTCTACTTCCTGACATTCTATGTCAATTCTATCTCCTCATTCCCAGAAAGTTTCATCTTCCAGAAATTCTTTATTTTGTCTGACCACAAAGCAACAGGATATTGAGAAAAAAATCTTCGGGTCCTTTCTGGTGGGTGGACTGCCCATCAGCATAACTCAGTTCTTTTTCTGCACCCCCATAACATCGAACTTCCTCAACCACTTGTCCTCCATAAATGTGCAGAATTAAATCATGATATTAAAAAGTGCCCCCTGTGTCTGTGTCGCACATGAGTACAGCCCATCTATCTCCTGTACACTGGACCTCCTCGGCTATCTGCAGGTGGAGCGTCAGTTCCCAAACTAACTCAAAGACTGCCTCCTGGAATCCTCTCTACCACTCCATTAGCAATCAGTGCAAAAAGGCTGCTACTGTTAATGATGATATTTTTATTTCTAAAGGTTTTTTAAATATACTCATGGCCCAGAGGAAACATTTATTTAACAATCAGTGGGAAGGAATGTGCTACAGTTATAAAGGTATTAAAATGAAGATCTATATTCCAAGTAACTAGCTTTTTAATCCTGCAATAATTGCTCAACCCATTGGGCTCCAGTTTCCCATTTTTAAAAGGGAATTGGTTCTGTTTCTGTGGTATCTAAGGCCTCCTTTGTGTCCAAAAGAATGTGCTCACAGATAATGTTTCAATTCATGTACTTTGACAGCTTGGTTATATCCTAAAGATTTTTGTTTGTGTTAGAGTTTTTTGCTTGTTGTATGCTCATCTTCTTGTTAAAATTGGAGCTAGGAAGTCAGTTTTATTAATAAACAAGTATGACATCATGACATTTCAGTCAAAATAGACATGACAAAAAAAACAGCATTGGGAAACCTGTTCCATGCACTCACCACTAAATCCTTCACACCCTCGACAACTGCCAGGGCCGAAGTCTTCCTAGATAGGTTGATGAGAACTCAGGATTTCCAGGCCAGATGTAGAAATGACGGATTGGACATCTCTACATGAGGCCTGGATAGTGCGGGCCAGCAGGGAGGGAGGGACTTCCATGAGGCCAACCCGAGCAGGTGACCCACTACCAGGGACCAGCCAGAAAGCAGTGAGCTGACTGCCTGGCAGTCACTGTTCCAAATCCAACCCAACAAGTGGCTATTCTTATTCAAGATTTAAGTGGAAATCTGAGTTCAGATGTTTGCTCCAGGAGAGACACAGCAGGGATTGGAAAAGCTGTCTTGAATGAACACTGTCTATGTATGTCTTAGGACAAAGAGAATTTCTCCTCCTTTGGATTAAAAGAGATCTCCTAGGACAAGGGCAGCAGCCCATACACTTTGCTCAGGGTGCTGAGTTTATTCTGAGCTAGGAGTAAAGCGTTCCTAGGAGACACTTTAACAGAAAGACATGTCACCTCACAGACACCCTTCTCTTCTGTGTTTCTGCTTATGTTTTCCCTTCTAAAACCGCTAACTTTCTTTTTACACTGGTAAAAATCAGCTTTTTGCTCCATCTTGTTCTTTGTCACTGTCATCATATAAAAGCAAATCAAGTCAATATTATATAAGGCAAGCTGGTCAATGTCGCCCTGGCCAATATGATATAAGGCAAGCTGGTCAATGTCGCCCTGGCCAATATGATATAAGGCAAGCTGGTCAATGTCGCCATGGCCAATATTATATAAGGCAAGCTGGTAGATGCTATCTTGGCCAGTATTGTATAAGGCAAGCTGGTTGGTGTTGTGTGGTCAATATTACAGTATAAGGTAAGCTGGTTGATGCTGTCCTGGTCAGTATTATATAAGGCAAGC